AGCTAAAGAAGGTTTTAATTAAAATCAATTCAAGGTTCAAAGAAATTTTATCATAATTTATAGTGGTAACTCAATATTCATTGCATGTGTAAGATGGGTGGATGGGAGTATGTGTGTGAACAGAAGATGCTAACAAATACCCATATTTCAAAGTCATCTTTTTTTGAATATTGTTTTCTATATTTTTTAGTCTTGTATACAAATACTCTTGAACCTCGAGTAGTTTTATGTCCATAGTAACAATTGTGTGTAGCGAACACTATAAATTACAGTTTATTAAGCCCCCCCCCCCCCCTCAAAAATCGATCTCGGCCCAGGAACATCCAAATTAGATGAAACTTTCAGGGTATGTTGGAACTAGAAAGGGGAGACTGCCGTAAAATTTTCAGCACTAAATCTTCGGGGTTTAGGGAGATATGAGCCAAACAAGGGTAAAAAATGACTTATTTGGGATGCGTTTTTGAGAAAGCGGAAACTGAGAAAAAACGAAAAACATTTTTTGATTTTTCAAAGAACAGCTGGTTTTTCGAATACGCGTTGACGGAAATCTTGAAAATTTTTTGAAAAAAAATGAAGTAACGAGAAAAACAGATTATCGTTTATGAAAGAGCAGATGACGGGCTGGCTCCCCATGTATTTGTCTCAGTTTCGGAATTTTTGACGAAAATTGACTTTTTTTAAGGGGGAGGGGCTTAAATATAAATAATGAAACTCAATATTTAGGGAATTCTATGGATTACAGCTAGTAGTTAAAATCAACAGCTGCAGGTATAACTTTTCTTGAATTTTTAAGAATCTAAATAAGGAAAATTTGACACTTAAGATCATATCCTATTTTTATAAGTTAAATAAAAAAACAGGAAATTCAATTTAACAGTTTGTGAATTTCGATTTTATGTTCGCAAATGATAAGACAAAAATACACATGGCTATCTTCGAACACGCAACAACTCATAAAATTTCTCATACATATCGGTCGGAACGTCATGTTTTGACATGGCTTGTTTTTAAAGGATCTTGTCTAACTGGACAGCTAGGAAAATAACGAGATCCATAAGAATCTTACATGGAGAAATTCGAAGAACATTTCACGATAATCCCTACAATCTGATACATATCTGTTGATCGAAATCTTCATTGTAACTATTGAGAATTATGTTTGGAGACATCACATCATCTGCATTACGAGTCATCGCTAAGCGATGCTAATCATGATAAAAATCTTCATACGAACACAAGAAGTCATTAGGAGGTTAATACAATTTACTGTCAATTCTACTATGGAGTTTTGAAGGAATAGCAGACAAGATGATGATTATGATTCGAGAATCGAGTCAACAGTTATAGTCTAGATCAGAAGAAAATCTTAGCATACGTAAAAAAAATATTTTCCAAATAAATAAATGTGGCTCAGTTTCGATCTCGAGTCTGTTTTGAACTTTTCAGAACGAAATGCTTCTGGATCTTTCAACAGTGTCACATATCCAAGATTTTGGAGATGCCACCACATCTCCTGCGGGAGATGCCGCATGTCGCGCGAGAGATGAGAGTGTGGGTGTGGGGAATACGTTTCTCTAAAGGAGATCTTACATCTCCAGTGGTGAATGACCTCATCTCCCGAGTGTGGATGCCGCGTCTCCCGCGGGAGATGCGGTGGCATCTCCAAAATCTTGGATATGTGACACTACTCGATCTTCGCAAGCTTATGTTTTGTTATGTATTTAATATGTGAAAATTTTCGAGATGATCTAATTAAAATTTGTTAATCTTTAGTTCACAACATGAATCTCGACAGCATTACATAAGCGGTTTTCTTTTCAAATTTTTATTATATTTCATGTCCAACTAAGCAGAATTTTGAAGTCTACAATGTTTTAAAAATTTATATTAATATTGAATTGAAATTTAGATGAGAAATAACAGCAGTTACTTTTGTGAATATTTCTTGAAAGAGAAGTTGAAAAGAGTGTGGGTGTAGGTGGGTGTGAGTAACGGAAGGCATAAGTCTACAGCTACATCCACATCCTACGAGGGCAAAAAAGTGTGTGAACTCCGTGGAATATCAATTATTTGGTACTGATTGAATTATCTTTCAATTGGCCTATAGAGAAATGTTGGGATATACGAAAAAGTCTATTCGAACAAAAAGATCAAGCGAAGATGTTTTTGAAGATCGTTCATATGATTGCATGTCAGAATAGAGGTGTGAGAAATAGTCATAGGTACGATTGTGTAATTCGCATTAAGTTCTGTCGTTCGAGATTTTGCTTGGTATTATAATTACATCGACATCTATCGATGAAAATGCTGTCATACTTTTAAAAGATTTTTGAAAAAGGAAAGAATGAATTTCTGTTAAAAAAACTTCTGTTCAGTTAGTTTGTAAGAACTTGGAATATGTATAACATAGAAAGCTGAACATTGGAGTTTATAGGTAACTATAGTCAGGTTTTCATTTCCAATGCGTACAAAGGGAATCAATTCTTTTTAGAGTACAGATCGGGTTAAAAATGCTTGATTCCCTCTTGGGCCGTCTCTTAAGACTACAAATAAATATCTACGAGCACTCAGGATTCTAAACCATCCTCATTTCTTACCATTCTTAAGTTGCCCATTTGTTTCCTCAAGCGTCACAGGCCAACGTGGTTGTTCATAGAATGCCAATTTAATCAAAGTCCCATTATTATACAATGACTTCAGCTGCGCCATATCGTCATCGGCCACTTGACTATTGTAAAATTCTAGATGAGTCAATGTATTACGTTCTTTCGAAGCGTGAATCAATGCTTCTGTGAGTTCACGTGAAATAACAGACGCAGATATACACAGATGTGAAATTAATTTATCGTTTCTCAGTGATGTTACTAAATGAATTTCTTTCTGATTCGACGGTCGTATATCTTGAACATGTAGACTGAGATATTTTATTGACTTGTGACCTTTCAATGTGTCCAGAAGATTAATAATGAAAGCTTCATCTTTGAAACCAATTTCATCCATGAGGTCGATTCCATTAAATGTTTCATTCATCTTCAACGTTTTACAGAAATGAGATAGCGTTGAGGGCTCGTACAGTGAATTAGTCAGTTTTAATTGATTTAATGTGTTTGTTTTCAAAGTAAATATAGTGTTGAGAATATCTACGTTGTTGCAATACTCCACAGTCAATCCTGTCACAATTCCGTTCGCTTCAAGACACGGCTGAAGTTCATTTTCATGCTGGAGAAAGTCACATGCAGAAAAATCCAACTTTCGATATATTTTATTTTGTAGCAAAAGTCGCGTGAGCATTGTTATATTTTCATCTTGATAAGTGTCGTTGAAGCGAACTTTTAATGATTGATTAGTGAACTCTATGACTATATTTTGGCAGGTATACTTTAAATTTCCAAAAAAATTCAAAACACGAACAGAAATCAATTTTAGACGACGAATTGAAGAGCAGTTAATGAAGATGTCAAGCAATATATCAAGATCACTCTCATAAAACGAACAATTTTGAAATGTCAGCTTCAGGATATTAAGACGTTTTGTGAGAACATCGCGTAATATCTTAGAGATTTTGCTAGTTACATCCACTTGACTTATAATTGCTTCTTTGGTCTTTTCATTGAATTTACCTCCAATAGCCACAAAGTCACTAATACAGGGTGGCCCAAAAGTCATGTTACCCAAAAAAAATTGAATATCTCCATTAGGGCTTGACCAAACGGGGTGATTGTTTTAGTAGTAATAGAGATATGTACAAGCTTTAAATCCATAA